CTAATAGGTGGCTTATATAGTAGGTATTCCAATATGTATTGGAATTTTCAGTAATTTAGGTATAGCATAAGACAGAACCTTCGTCTTTAAGCATCACAATACATGTATTTTGAGTTTGAAAAAATGTGTTCTAATATCCATGCTTGTATTAGAAAGAATGATCCTGACTTGAATGTGTAATTCTTAGCACTAGCCATTAAGGTATCAATGTCAGCCATAGGAAGAAAGGAAACATCGTTTACTGGCAGTGGAAGGAGGAAATAAGGGCCGGAAAGTGTATTTTGAGGATAAATCCAGCTCCGAGATCTAATTGGTTCTCATAGTCTGCACAGTGGTAGGTGCAGCTCAAAGTAGTTTATCTGATTGCAGTTATCCAAGGAGAAACAGGGCAGAGTGAATGAATCACTTCTTCATCCAGTGAGATTTTACATTTAGGGTCGTTCTAATCATTAACATGTGACTTAGATATCGCACAATGTGTCAATGGTCTCATCTGTGCATTACTGAATACTTAATACAACTGGTGAGTATTGAATATCACTGCTCTGAGTACTGGCTAAGTATTGGCTCATTTAGTCTTCATAATCTCATTTAATCCCAAGACACAGATACTACAGGTGAGGAAAATGAGAAGCCAAAATGTCAGTAACATTCCTGAGAACACTAAAGTAACAACTAATGGAAGTTTTGAACCCCCAAACCACAATCTTAAACATGAAATTCGTATGAGGGCTCTGCAATGGATCTAACCCCTAAACCACAGATCATCTAGGTCTTTAATGTGCCTGTATATCACTTAGAGATCTTGCTACAAGGTAGATTCTAACTCCGTAGGCCTGTATTGGAGTAGGGCATCTGCATTTCTAACAAGCTTTCAGGTGGTGTCAATATTGCTGGTGCCAAAATCATGGCACCAGACCGCTGCATTTGCACGCTATTTTACCAGAAGCTAAAACTAAATTTCATGAACAAGTAGGTTACTCTTAGTTCAGTAGTAACAGCTAATTTATTGGTTATCTTAGTTAAAAAAAAATTGCGATGAGGTGAGATTTCCTGAGCCCTGTTAATGAATCTAGGCTGATCTCATGTTTAGAAACTGAAATGATAATTTTGATTATAAAATGTAGGTTAGTGTATAATAATTAACAGTGAGTTAAGTCTACAACACAATTCTTCTTAAATATTCAGTTATTTGGTCTTCACAATAGGCCTGAGAGGGAATGGAGATGACAACTGTGTTTGAGGAAAATGACACAAGGCTACCACCACAGGTCTCTTAGGCAGCAGTGACAACACACGGGTACCCAAACTCTTCTCCTCCATCAGCTGACCTTGATGTGGGACTATGTTCCATTAACTGGCTAAAAGTAAATAGGTGTAGGACAATGCTAGTACTAACACAGCTATGACAGACCCACATTCTGATCTTGCTTTAAATACACAGACAATCAAGGCCAATGTGATTCAGAAGCACTAAGAGTAATTTTCAATTGTGGTTGTATTCATTTGAACCTCTCTAAATATAAACAACATAGCTGCATATATCATTTTATTATGCTGCTAAAAGTTAAAGACGTTTTCTGTTTAAAGAATTTATATTTTATTGATTTTTAGAGAGAAGGGGAGAGAGAGAGAGAGAAACATAGATGGGCTGCCCCCTACCAGGGGTTGAGCCTGCAACCCAGGCGTGTGTCCTGACTGGGAATCAAACGAGCAGCCTTTCAGTGCACCAGATGACATTCAACCACCTGAGCCACACTGGCCAGCACAAGAAGCCCTTATCTTACTCACTCCCTTGCTCAAGACCACCTATGGGGTGATATCTGTATCATTTTCTTTTTTCTTTGAAGATGCTGTAGCTGGCAGGACTGGTTATTTTACCCTGTGTGCTTATTTTAATAAAACTAAATATGTTGGAATTGCTGTCTTCATATGCATGTTATAAAATTTTATTGAGAATTCAGAGTTGATTTCCAAATATCAAGTATATTTACCATCCTTACAGGACTAATATTTTCACAGAAAAAAATCTCTGTAACTTATTGTGGAGGCAAAGTAATGAAGATAAATCAAGAAATGCTGCTGTCAGTCACTAGAAAAGGAAAATGTCAGAATCTCTGCAAGTAAAAACACCTGAGAACAGACAGTAAAGATTCCTCAAGCCCAGGCCTTCTAAATAAACTGATGATTTACGTCATTTTCTTGACAAATGACAAAGGAAATATCTCTATTCTTGAAAGAAATGGCTAAGTAGCACCTCATTACCATTTTGTTCACTCAACAATTTGGAAATCACTTTAATAATGAACTTACTTTTAAAAATTGTGTTTTCTTCAAGTGTACACTTACCTCTGAAACTAATGACTGGGTGTATTCTAAGGCATATTAACACTGATACTATTGAATCATCCAATTGTACTGAACAAGCTGTGCGAAAGTTCTCACGGGAGTTTACAACCACGGTTTCCAGTCGTGCTGAGCAACAATCACTAGGGCCCCGTCGCGGTGTTATCATGCGAGGGAGGTTTCTGAAGAGGGCAATAGGTGTACTGATGGCCAAACCCCGAGCCCCTGACATGATTCAGCTATTCCTTATCAGCTGCAGGGTTAGTAGAGGGACCAGCTCAATATCTGATGAATTCAGGGAAAGAAATCCTCACTAGTTGTATTATCCTTTAGTTTTTGCCTGTGTCTACTCAGAAGGTATGGATAGCCCGGAGATGACCAGATAATATGGCTTTTGCTTACCCCTCTCGCTTCTCATTGGCCACTCCTACAGGCCAGTCTGGTCCTCTGTCCTCAGTTCCTCAAAGGCACCAAGCTCCTCCTAGCTCTCGGCCTTTAGACTCTTAGCTACCTCTGCCCGCAGCTGCACTCTTGGGTTCTCTTGTGACATATGCTCTCATAGTGCTACATTTCCTTTAGAATAGTTGCAGTGAGTAATTTTTCTAACTTCATTTAATGTGTTTTTTTTTTCTGCTGAACTATAAGCAACAGGAGAGTAGGGGAGGTGCTTACTCACCATTGTACCCTTACCACTCTTCAAAGAGCTTAGCCCCTAGGTTCAGTAAATGCTTCTCGGATAATGGTACGTGAACTAGGGTGAACTCCTGAGTCATGGCTCATGTTTTCATCTTTTACAATGACTACTGGGCAACGCCTCGTGTGTGTAGAGACAATGTGTTGAATTTTTAATGTAAAAGTAGAATCTTTGGAAGAATAAATTGGGAATAGTTCAGATGTGATTGTGAAGAAGTCAGTCCTAAATGAAAGGGTTTATTTAATAAGAACATAGTTAAGACTTGGTGATTATTTGTCATGGATAAAGTGTTTTGGAGCTATGCCTTGTAAAGATTTACTGACCAGTATAGGGATTGATCAGGAGCAGAATTCTTGGTTTCCCTCTACTTATATATATTAGAGATGCATGTGGGTGGACAATTTTAAACTACTTTTATGGGTAACTCAGAAATTGCATCTTGCAGGAATGATTTCTTAGAGTATAATTAAATGTTTGGTCATTCACTGCCATGGTTTGGAGTGCTTGGCATCATTTAAAAATTCCTACAATGTTTGCATGTTTTTCTTCTTCTGTTCATTCTATTGGCTACTGAAGTATATCGCTGAATAAATTTCTAATAGTTAAGAAGTGAGAAGCAAAATAATTTCATTTAATACTTTAATTATTTTTTTTTTTTTATTTTTTTAACAGGTTAAGCTTATCACCCTGAAAGCTGCAATACACTGGGATATATGAGTAAAACTCAACATTCAGGTAAGATATCACCATACAGTCTTCAGAAAATAAATACTAAATTTTGGTTCAAACTATACTTAGAAGTTCAGTTTGTCAAAGTAAGTAATTTTTGAAATGGCAGGCTCAAATTCTTCATCTAGGGAGTCCATCTATTCTGGAAATATGCTATGGATGGAAACTTTTTAAAGTTGAGAATTAAGTGCTCAGGAAGGAATTATTCCTTAAAAAAAAAACACAGTCTAAGTAAGAGCTATTCTTTTGGATGATGTATTTTCCCTAGGTAATTGTTTAGACATTAGAAATTAATTCATGCAAGCTTGCACTTACACATCTGTTTTTACTCTCCTTTGTAAGTAAAGAAATGGTATTCCACCCCCAAAAGGGCAATAATCTTTAAAAAAAAAATCCATTCTGCAAAAGATATTTTTATGGTTCCTGTGAACTTATGACAAGGAATATATCTAGGAACAAGGCTTCAAAATCTAAGCTATGTTCCATTGCTTGCAGTTACCTTGGATTTTAACTAGATGTGCAAGTTGACTTCTGACCATGGGGAGTCTTCTCCATGCATGGTATGGGTTGCTGAGGCCATGGCAGAGAACCAGTTCCACAGAAGCAACTTCATGTTCTTCTGAGGAAGATCCATAGCACTGTGGAACAAGAACTATAAATGAGCAATGCCACAGAGACTGCAAGTGGGGCTACCAAAATACAACCCTCAAAAATCAACTCTGAGGTGGAAAATCTACAAGAAAAAAGTTTAAATCAATAGTTTCAATAAAATAATTTAAGTTATCATGTCAAGAGCACTGATGCATATTCAGTAGAAAAGGCACACGTGCTTCTTACGGATGTAACCAAAATAGCTTTTGATTGCAAGCACATTAAGTAGATAATCATATAACTTTGTTACCAAAAAAAAAAAAAGTTGTTTTCAGCAGTGCCAGACTTAAAAAGAAAATTCAGATGTCTAGAAAGGAAAACACCAAATGAAAACATTCAAACTGGAGTAATAAAAATATTTGGCCTTTAATAATTTTGAATTCAATTATGCATGAAAGCTCCACTTCCCCCGCCCATAGTCACACGCAAACACACCAATTTTTAAAATGTTTATAATGGCCAAAGAAAGGGTGTACAGGGATATCTTTATTAATGGAACTCACTTTTTAATTAGTTTTTAATTACGTCGCTAATCCATGTTGGCCTCATATCAGCGCCGTGCCGTTCTTCAGGTCCCTTTCTAGCAGTCGGTGTCCCGCAACACGAGGAGGGCTTCCTGGGGCACCTTGGCGATGAGCTGTTCCGGGCGCAGAAAGGCGCAGTCTATGAAGTTCTCCCGCTCCTCCTCGGCCGCCAGGAACGACAGCGGCATGTCCAGGGGCAAGTGGTTCGCCGCCGCCCTCCGCTCTTCCTCCTCCAGCCCCTCTTCCTGCTCGCCCTCTGCGTAGTCAGCCTCTTCCGCCTCCGCGTCCTCAGCCTCTTCCGCTTCCGCCTCCGCGTCCTCAGCCTCTTCCGCCTCCTCGTCGTCGGGGGTCGCCGCGTCCTCCTCGCTCTCGGCGCTCTCTCCGTCCTCCTTCCCGTCGCAGTCCTCGTCGTACTTCTCCTCCTCCTCTTCCCCCGCCAGCTGCGAGGCCCGGCGCTGGTTCTCCTCCCCGGGGGCAGGGCTGAAGGCCAGGCAGGGGTTCTGCCCGAAGCCGCACAGGGCGTCCGGCAGCTCCGCGTCGTCCTCGTCGTCCTCGCCGCCGGCCGGGGCCCGCTGGCGCTCCAGCGCCTCCTGCTGCCGCATGTCCTCGTAGATCTGGTTCATGATGAACTGGGTGGTGTTGCGCGGCGCCTGCATGCC